CTCAGAATCTGAATTCAGATCTGTCCAAGTTCAAAGACTCCATCTTACTCTTTCCTCTTCAGGTTCCCAGAATTTTTCCTGCGTTGCAGAGAGGCAAGAACGCTAGTGGTTAGGACAGGGTTTTGGGTTAGGTTGGCCTGGATTGAAATTGGAGCAAGTTACATAATCTCTCTGATACTACATTTACATCTGCATCTGTAAAATAAGAATACTGTAACGATGGTTTGGGATTGACTAAATAGGAGAATGCATATCTAGTACTTAGTACAGTGGTCGACACCTAGAAACCTCTAGATAAACTTTAGTGACTATTATTAGTGTAGAAGAGAAGAAAGAACAAGAAGCAGTGTTTGCTTTTGTCAGTAGCTCGGGAAAGTTGTTCATCCTTGTTCATACAACCTGTTTAGGATCGAGCCTGAAGGGTTAGAAAGGGTGGGATTAGTGTGATGATTTTGCATGGTTTGGAGAAGGGAACCCTGGACATAAAGTATTAAATAGGCACCCAAGGAGTTTCAGAGGCCTCAGATGGAAAACAGCTAAGCATGTCTTCTGAAGGCTAACTCTTGCCTCCACAGAAGGAAAACTGGTGGGTAGTAGACAGGGTGGGAGGGAGGCTTCTCAATGTTTATTTGAATTTGGAATCATGTGAATGCACTAAATCTATTCCAAAAAATGAATTGCATTAAAAAAAGCCTCTTTTACCATGGGGTACGTGCTGCAGATGGGAAGGTCAGGGCCTAGTCCTCGTCATCACCACCATCACCATCACCCGCTTACACTTTTGCAGCCCGAGGAGGGTTTTGGTCATACAAGGCAGGGCTTGCGCCAGAACTGGGACTGTTCCAGCTTGATTCGGATTCCAAAGATCCAAGGCAGTATTTTAACTATCTACCCTCTGACACTCATTTTAAGAGTTTACAACAAGCCGTCACATATTTGGGATTATTTACCCCTTGGATTGTTTTGAAGCATATGCACTGTTGAGGGTTGAATGTGTTGTCTAAATAATGTCTTTGTATGTATTGCCTGTGCATTTCCCAGGTTTTTAAAGCCATTTTTGATGCTTAAATCAGTTAAGACTCTGGGGACCTAATTTTCTAGGGTCCCTTGGAGGGGGCACATAACCCCACTCACAAATAATCAAGAACTTGCCTAGACACTGTTCTAAGGTCTTTACATATGACACTACACTGTAGATACTATTATACCGACTTTACAAAGAAACAGAATCAAGTGAGATGAAGTAACCTGCCCAAGGTCAGAGGCTGTACAGCTAACCATTAGCCGATACTACCTCTGTTGGCAGTGGGCCAATCATTTAGAGGTCCTTCGAAGGTGATACAAGCCTCCTTGACTGTGTAGCAGCCATACCTTGAGTACCAAATGTCAAATCCTTCACTGCAGTTTAGGGTTTAGGAGCAGGAAAGATCAGAGTGTGAATTTCCGCCTTGACCTCGGGCACTTTACTTACTCCCTCGCAGCTTCAGGTTCTTTATCTGTGCGAGGAAGGAACTTTAGATTAAAAGCTCTCTCCTCGCATTACGAGTGTGGGTGTGTGCTGGGGGTGGGCGGTGGAGGGGCTGAGGTTTCTGGGCGGTGCGCTTTTTCCAGGTCTCTTGAGGAAGCAGAGCGTTTTGAGGTTCTGTCCCGGCCAATTCCCTCTCAGGTCAGGCCCCCGGGCAGTGCTGGCGCTCCAACTTGGCTATTCTTCCTCCGCGAGCAAAAGGGCTGCCCCTGGGGCCAGTTCCGACCACTGCCGGGAGGTCTAGGGTGGGTTCCCCCCCCCCCCCCTCTGAGGGAGTTAGAGATGACTGTATCCTCAGGAAGGCTTCTGGGAGGTAGTGACAGTTGCGTCGAGTCTAGAAGGTACAGCAGGAGTTAGTACAATAAAAAGAGGTGGAGGGGGAAGGGTTAGCGTCCCCCACCCCACCCCCAGCCACAGAACAAAGAAGCACGACCGGCTTACAGTAAAGGAGGAGGAGCTGTGAGAGTGGAGAGGTCTGTAGAGGCGAAATCACACCGGGGCTTCAGGGTTTGGCTTTATTATAAGAGCAACTGGGAGGGGTTTGGAGGAATGTAGTCAGGAGTTTAGAAAGACTCCGTAGCCGCTCTGGAAGAATGGGTCGCAGGGGTCCAGGCGGCTATCGCAGAAAGCAGTTCGGTTAGAGGACCGGCGACTGAATAAAGGGGGGCGGGGACCGAGCATCTGAGACTTTTCTCGGTCCTCGCGACACAGTGCACCGTCCCTAGACTTTCTTTGCTTATATGGAAAGGCCCCAAAGGGGGCTGGGCGCCTGCCAAACTCTCAATCAACAAAATAGCCCAGAGCCCTCTCCTGTTTCGAGGACTTTCTGGTCCAGGTGTCCCAGAATTGGTAGGGTTATGCAGAAAACTCATCGCTGCTGAAGATGGAGAACCGTTACCCCTCAGAATACACAAAAACCTCCGCCGCTTTTGGCAGCAGCCTCCTCTGCCCATGACCTCATGCTCTAAGCTCCAAAATAGCCTTCCCCCGCCCTGTCCACACCCAGCGCCGAGTGGGGGTAGGGTGGGGGACAGTGGTGAAGATCTGGGTGGCGGCAGCACCTTATTTATCCTGCGTGACATTTGGTGGGAAGGACGCAACGACATCCCCTTACTGCAGAAAGCATGGTTTAACTTTCCCGTGAGCAAAAGAGACTCTGTTGTGCGCCCTCGATGAGACGGATGCCTCGAACCGTCTCGAGTAGTCTGTAGAGCCGAACCACCTTCGGTTCACGTTTCTTCGGACCAAGAGAGACGCCTGGAAATGCTGGGGGTCCCGGGCTAGACCAACTGGCGGCCGCGCCTTCGCGGGACCTGGGGGCTGCCCTGCTCTCGCCCTCCTGGCGCCGCCGAGGTTTGAACCCAGAGCTCGCCTTTCAGCCCGCGCCCTGCCCCCTGCTCGCAGCTGCTCTCGGTTTGGGTGCAGCGGTTTCCCCCGCAGAGGAGGAGGAGCATGCAGAGCGGGGAGCGACTCCCGGCTCGGGTTTCTACACCAATGCCGAGCAGCCCCGGGCGGCCTCCAGCGGCCGTCCCTCCTCCCCGGCACCACGTTCCACAGTCATGGCGCGCGAGGAGGGGCGAGCGCGCTCTGCGACAGCACCGGCTCGCCCCCTCCCCTCCGCTGCCCAGCCCGGCCCCTCTCCTAGGCAACCTCCCTCCTCCGCCTGCAGCGCCGCCGAGGTGGAGACCCCTCCCCTGAGAGCTGCATTTCCAGAGCCGCCTGCGGCACCCGCTCCCCGCCCCCATCTGGGCGGAGGGATGGAGCCGCGCGCTGCGCGAACCTCCAGCCCCTTCCCCGGAGTCCCGGCCTCTCCCCGTGCCCCACCAATGCCGGGGTGCAGGGAAGGTTGGGGGAAGGTGCAGACCGTCTTACCCCAGCCTACCTAGACTTCGGCATCTTTGCAACCGCTTTAACAAATAAACCTCAAACCCAAGTTGTTAGATTGCAAAGCGCGTTACAATAACCGGGACGGCTACGCAGGAAGCACTCCTGCACTGGTCCGGGTCTAAGGCGGCAGCTTCCCGGCCACGCTGCCTTTTCCTGGGCCTCTATTTTCCGGCCAAGGCGCAGAGTCTGCCACACCTCGATTTGCTGACAGGTCCCACGCGGGGCCGCAACTCTGTCCGCGCCCCCCGCCCCATTCCCGTCCAGAGTCTCGCCAGCCTACAAAAGGTGCAATCTCACGCACATGCAGAGCAAACAAATAAGGTCGGCAGCGCAACGCCGGGAAGACTGCGAACAATGCGTCGGGCGGGCAGCGCCAGCCAAAGCGAGGGGCCCCGTGGGACATGGGGCGCGGGCGGGGGCCGCGGCGTAGCACCCGCCGGCCGAGGCGCTGGACACCTTACTTCCTGCTTCCCCGCCCGCCGCCAGACCGAGCTCTGCGGAGGGATATCTCTCCCCTCCTCTGTCCCCCTCTTTCCCTCCCCCCGCCCTCCCCTCTTTTTGCTTCTGCTCCCCCCCCCCACCCACTCTGCCTTTCTCTTTTAGCAAGAAAATTATTTGACAGTCGATTTGCTGACAGGGGAGGAATTTGCATCCTGGATTAAAAAAAAAAAAAGGCCGAGAGGAGCTTGGGAACGGTTGCTAGGGGTGGGTAAAGGGTGAAAAAGGGGGGGGGGCGTCGGGGAGCGGATAAGGAGGGTTAAGGGAGGGGCGAGGATGGGGAGCAATGGAAAAGGTAAGGCCAGGTTACCGCGGCTCGGCCCCGAGTGGGCTGCGGCCGGGGGAGGGGCGAGAGATACATATGTATTTCTGTCTTCTTAGCACACCCCCTTCCCTCTAAGCGATGGCTGAGAGGCGGTGCATGCAGATGGGGAGTAAGTTTCCTGAAGGGGAGGGTGGATGCACGCGCGCGGCCCCGCGCTGCAATTTCCACCGGGGAGGGAGAGTGGTTGGATGCGGAGAGTTTGGAGTTGCTTGTGGCGGAGGGCAGGAAGGGTAGCAGGGCCGGGAAGGGGGCTGGCGGGCGCTATATCTGGGAGTAAGTTTCCAGGATCGGGAGAGCCTGCACGCTTGCTCGCTAGTAAGTTTCTGACCGGGGAGGGCGCGTGGGGAGGAGGAGAGGGAGGGGTGCATGTATATAGAAGGGGGGAGGGGGGAGCAGATTTCCTGCGGGGAGGCTGAATGCATATGGAGAGTAGATTTCCTGAAGGGAGGGTGGAGGCTAGACGGACCAAGTAAGTTTCTTGCTAGGGTGGTGGCGGAGGTGGTGGGTTGGTGCTTTGGGAACCCGGAGCTTCCTACTGGGGTTGGGGGAGCACGCTGTTGGGTGGGGGTGGGGTGGGGGGCGAAGGGCCAGGTCCCCTGCTGGGGAGAGGGGCTTGCATCTGGGGAGTATGTTTCCTGGCGGAGCGATATTTGTTTACAGGCTGATGGCAGTACTGTAAGTGAGTAGCGCTTCGAGGAGGCGGCTCTGATATAAATTAATATTGAAATTACTCCATCAGCTCTGCTTGCCCCTCATCTCACCCCCCAAGCGGAGACTGGTCTTGTCGGATTGTCCATGCACTTGTTGCAGAAACAGCCAAGGTAGGCAAGAACCTTATTAAGTTTCATTTTAAAAAGAAAATTAGTTGGGGGATGCTTCGTGAGAAGATGCGGGGTGGGGGGAGGGGAAGGGACAAAGTGGGGGGGGGAATCGAGAAGGAAAAATATTCCCCCACTTCTTTATTTTCAGTATATAACTAGGGCCTTCTCTCTGCTTCCCTTCTTCTCTCTTCCCTCTCTGAGCTCCACGGCTTCCCAGCAAAGGGGGAGGGGGTGCGATGGGCGCTAAAATTGGCAGACCCCGCTTAAAGGGTGGTGGTGGGGTTTGCACTTGAAGGTTGCGATGTTATAAAGCCTTCATTCTTCCAGCCAAGAAACCGCAGGACCCTAGGGATGTGCCTTTTGGGGTTTTTGACATGATGCTTATGTGTCTGTATATGCGCCTGTGGGCTCTTTGGGGGCTGGGTACCCTCCAAGAAGTTAAAAGTGGCCACCCAGATGGGAGAAAATGTGAGGGGGTAAACCTTCCCCTCCAGTCCCAACTTCAGTTTGGAAGATTGGGAAGTTGCTGCTGGCGGTCTGAAGAAATAGATATTAGAAAACAACACAAAACCACCCATTCACTGGCTGAGGCCAAGAGCACCTGGCGGGCAGCCTCTGGTCAGCACTGGGCTGGAGCATGTGCGCTGCCATCCTTAGGTTAAAAGAAAATGACTCCTGGTTCCTTCGTGTGCTTTCAACTGGCCTGCTAGAGCCAGCTTTGTGGAAAACTCTTCCCAAACTAGACGCGGCTTTGGCAAGTGAACGTTAAGTGTTGAAGTCAGTTGCTAACATGGCCTGGGCTGTCTTGTGAGGTGCATGGAAGTGATGCTTAGGAATGACGATCCACGGGTGGCTGAAGAGTTCTTTCAAAAAATGCCTTCCGAAAGCCGACTGGGTGCACTTTCTTAGCAGGCCTTGGAGCAGAGCTTTAAGAAAGGAGTTTTCAGTTGTCCCAGTTGGTACCAACCTTCTGCATCATTAGCTGTTTCGAGAAAGCAGTCTGGTCACGGATGATGTGGTTTTGTGCCCGCTGGAAGGATTACAAGCAGAAGTACTCAGCGGTTAACTAGTTAACCAGCAGTCTTTGCTTCTCCCTGCCTGTTTTCCTGGTCCTCAGCCTGCTGGTTTCTGCAGATGGGTTGTAAGTTTTGGCTGTGAGGTACCTGGATTATGCTGAGAGTTTTAACTTTGCCAGGATAATTTTAGCAACCAAGGTTTAAACCTAGACATGTTTTAGTAGGGGCAGGGAGTAAACACTAGGCAGTGTGGTTAACTTAAGTTGATTAAGCTTTCTGCAGTCCTGTAGCCAGGCTCAATTCTAGTAGGGGAAAAAATGGGTTTAAAAATATTTCTCTACATATTACTGATGGACAGTGCTTTCTTTCTTTCCTTCCTGTCATCAGATTTCCAGATTGAGAATTTGGTATTTGGCAGCTTGAGAGTTGAGTTAGTTGGGAATTAAATATTATTGCGACTTATCAAATGTTCCTAACTAGGCATTGGTTAAACAAATTAGCTATTATTTTTTCCTGCTTAAAATCTGTGCCTGGTTGTTGAATATGCTGGGAAGATAAACAGAATCTTTATGTATGTTTATCCTAGGGTACTGGAATTATTGACATGCTTACCCTCGAAGCCAAGGGCAGTCATTCAGGTTTTTTTTCCCTTGTATTTATGAGATTTATTTTATTGTCTTGCGTTGGCCATTAATCAAGTCAGCAGCTTTTTTTTCTCTTCTTCTGGGATGTTCTTGTGGTAATAAAGGTTTGAAGGCCCATGAATCATAATTCATTCTTTTAAAAATATTGTGGCGATTGTCAGGATTTGATTTATAGGAATTGATACCGGGAGTGACACACCTCTGTGGGCCCCGCCCTTTTAGGCATGTCCATTTTTGCCAAAGATTTGTTGAGAAGCCAGCTTGACATCTCGAAAAAGAGCATTTCCCTTCTGCTTTATGGGCATGAGAAGATTAATTTTACAGGTTCCATAGTAAACATGAGTCTTTTCACAGCTTGGTAAGCAGGCTTCCACATAGCAGGCATGTGTTAATATCACATAGCATTTATGTGAGCTTGCTGTGAAAACAGTTGTTCTATGAACTGTGTGGAAAGTACTCAGTTTTGCTTCCTTTAACCTGCTTGGGCCTGTGGTTTTTGTTGAGGTAGGAGCATTAGTTATAAATGAGGGGACTGCTGCTTATATAATAAAATGTGTGGTTACAAAAACAAAGCTTATTTATAATATTCTTTTCATCATCCTGTGATGGCTGAGTTGGTCACAGTAATCAAAAGCATTGTTTTTTTGGGGAAGTTATAAGGATTCTCCGTAAAGCCGATTAATCAGCAAGTGTTAACATTGTTTTGCACTCAGTAGTTGGCTCAAGATTATAGTATTTGTAAAGTGACAGAGCCTTTGAGGTGATCTGATGGTTAAAGCAGGGGGAAAATGTCACTGAGGTGTGGGAGGGTACCAGTTTCTAGTATTTCTGGGTTTTGGATTTTTTTTTTTTTAATTAAAAAAAGCACGGTTTGATCCATGAGTTCCATCCATGTCTGAAATTCTGTGACTTGGTCTTGCGGAGAGAGGTCTCCAGAGGTCTTGACCGTGTCTTCCTGGGCCAACGGCCAAATTGCTTCATGGACTTGGGCAAGTTGATTAACTTCTGTTTTTGTCTTCTCACGGAGAGAGTGGATTTGTACCTTGGCATTCCAAAAAAGACTTTTGAGTGACCGGGTAATCTTGACCATCATCGCAAGGAAATACTTATGAAAGCCTGCCACTGTCTTGGAAAAAGAAAGTGCATGGTTGAAACCCAATTATATGTGCTAATAGAGAGTGGCACATAATCCCGGTCACCAAAAATAATTTCAGTTCATCTTGGAAGTTTCCCCTGCAGCCAGCTGGTTCACCTGTCTGATTATGCTTGGTCAAGTCTAAGGTTAATTGAGCAGTACCAGAAAGCCTAGTGTGGCTTTACTCATTTTCTGTGAAAAAATTCACATGTGGGTAATTGGAATTTGCTTGTCTATTTGCCATTGGGTTAATGGTAATGATATTGTATTACTGTCGCCTCTGGGATATATCATATTTCACTGTGGGCATTTTTGGGGAAAAACTCTTGATGCTTGTATTGACTTTGAACATTGACATGTAAAGTAAGGATCCAGACAAGTGGCTCAGACCCCAGGCAGTTCAAATTTGTGCTGATTGTCCTGCTCTAAGAGCAGTTGAATTCCCCTCGTTTTATTTCTGACTTCATAAAACTATGTAATTTAGGGAGGAGAGAGGGGTAGAATCTGCTGGAATCTTGTGGATTGATTAGTAGTAATATATCTGAATTTGCATGTTTAAGGCGAACCAATAAAATAAAGGGGAAATGAAAAGGTTGCTTTCTTTTGTGGGGAGAGGGTGACAGGAGCAGCTGGATCTTGTTCCTGGCATGCTTTGCAACAAGGGTACTGCGGCATTTTGAGGAATAATGTAGGCTTGATAACATGAGTTTGATTGCAGGGCTCTTGTAATCTTTTTTTTTCCCCCTGGGTTAAATAAAATATACAACAAAAAGCCTTGTGATATTTTGTAAGAATTTTCAAGTTCTCTCGGCATCTGCTTATAGGGTTTACTGGTTAATTTGGGTTTACTGAAGAAATGGATGAGTTTTGCTTTTTCCTCATGGAAGACAAGCTGAGAATGGGTGGGGCATGCTGAGCTATTGGGCTTTTGGTTCGGCGATATTAACACTTTTTTTTTTTTTTGATAGGAAGGGGGAGAAAGAACTTGTGTGCCTAAATGGCAACGATAACTCTAGGCTCATAGATGGTAACAGTTATTTTCATGCCATGACTGGCTCTGGTTTATTCATTTATACATTTAGCCGCTACTTGTTGGGCACCCACTGTTGGCTAGGCACTGAGGTTAGGCTCTGGGAATATGTTGATAATTCAAGCAGACATAATCATCTCCCTCTGTGAATCCCCCACCCCAACCCTAGTTAACAGTGCAGAGGCAGGTTGACATGTCAAGAAATATGTGTTGCAAACTGTGATAAATGCTCTGATGAAACCTCAGGGAGCGGTGACCTGGACTTACTTAGCTAAAGCAGCCTAGAAAAGCCTCTCTGGGCATTGGGGGTAGGGGGGAACAGAGGGCACCAGGCAGCGAGAGCCTTGGTGGAAGTACTTTGGCTTTGGGGGCAACTGAAAAGAGGCAAAGGTGGACAACAGGGAGGTAGAGAGGGCACAGGAAATGATTGATCATGCAGGGCTCTGGGGGCCTTGAAAAGATTCGGGTTTCGTTTGCAGTGTAGTGGGAAACCATTGAAACTTGGCTGTGGGAAGTGACAGCCCCTAACGAATGCATTGGGGGAGAGGGGCAGGTGTGGGACTGGGGAGCACAGTAACGTGGCGGTTGGAGCTGGCCAGGCGAGGAGGTGACAGGAGGTCAGTGGAGAGAAGCACTTGGGTGTGCAATGAACATTTGAGGTAGAATGGGTGGGGCTTGGTGATGGATTTGTTGGGAGGTAGGGAGGAGGACTCTAGGATAACAGGTTTCTGTCTTGGGCAGCTGGGTAGATGGGTGGTACTCTGCTGAGATAGGGAAGCAGGAGAGCAAAGGGAGCAGAATCACAGTCACGCTGTTTCAGTTTGGGCTCCTTTGAATTTGAGGTGCCTGTTCGACTCAACGTGGAGATGTTAAGCAAGCAGTCCGATACAGCATCCAGCATCCAGTGCCAGAGGGCTGGTGGGCAAGAGATGAAATGTGGGCATCGTCAGCCCAGGGGCGGTATTTTAATCCAGGAGACTAGAGAACATGTACTAAGGAGCCTGGAGGGAGAAGGCAATGTGTATGTGGGTGCGTGTGATAAGGCCAGAAAAATCACCAATGGATTTGGCAAAATGGAAGCCACTGGCAACTTTGGAAAAAACAGTTTCAGTGGAGCAGTGGATTGGGTAGGAGCAAGATTGGCGGGCGTCGGAAGGGGAATAGGAGGTAAGGAA